ATTATTACCTCGCATTAGACAATTTCTGAACATGCTTTTATATGTGTACCTACATAGTATAAAAGCTTCCATTATTTGCTTTATTTCCATACACAATAGGTACGTTTGTGTATAAAAAAAATATAACTCTAATTAAATTTCTATTTGTAAAATGCAAAATACATTTTTGCCGTTAAAAGTTTTGCTAGTATCACCGATCAAACGTTATATAAAATGATAAATGAAAGTTGCTCACATTAGCCATTGAAAGTATTAGAAGCTTAAAAAGGGGACAAAGAGACATTCCATGTATGCACTCTAATTCTTTAACTGAAAAGATCCCAAAAAATTTTAAACTCCTTGGAAATGGATAATCTAAAATATTGGATCGATATTGTTTTCCGGGTTAAATATCATGGTCAATGGAATTTTGAAGTTGCAAGCACCTGTCAAATCGGGAAGGAACTACGAAATTCTCACGACAAAACAGCCCCCACAACAATATCGAATTGATATACGCCAGCTGTGTAAAACTGAAAACTACAAGATATTGTGGTGTGCTAATAAATGCATATAATCTAAAATTTTTAGAAAACTATTCGAAAAACTTCACTCATTAGATGGACCGAAAGCTAAAGAAACTATGGATTCCATTTCGTTCTCGTATTACATTGTGTAAAAGATCAGAAGCAAAATGGGGTTGTAAATATTTTGATATAAAATGATTGATGTTGATTTTACATCAATAAAATTATTTACAACCCTATTTTGGCTCTGATCTTTCACGCTAAACAAACTATTTTGGCATCAGTGTCTTTTTTCTAATTAAAACGGGGGACAAAGGCAAATAAGGAAGCATACGTAAAAATTATTTGTTGCTGAACTGAAGAAACTATAAAAGATAGAAAAACTATATCTCAATAACTTAAAACAGAAAAATATGAATCATACTCAATTTTCACAGCTGGTGATATACTGCAAACATCACTTTTAGTCTAAAAAATTCCAATATTTAAAAAACCAGCAAATACCTGCAAGGTTTTCTTAAAAAATACAAATAGCTAAATTGTAGAAATGATAGGTATTTATGTGAAAATAGGATGGTTATTAAATGGACAAATATAGAAGAATAGAACTCCAAGGAAAAATTGGAAAGATATGAAAGAAATGAAAAGTAATATAGAAAGAGGAGACTGTGGTAAATATTAATTAAAAATTAAAAGGAAGACTCACTCCTAATTATCACAAAAGACTTTATTTGAGCGGGCCAGTCTCGCATTGATAATGCCCACATATGAAGTGAATTGGGCGAAACACGTGTCCGCTCAAATAAAGTTTTTTGTAGTAATTAGGGGTGAGTCTTCCTTTTCATTTTTAATATGAAAGAAATAGTTAAGGAAAGTAATAATAAGAAATGGAAAAAGTAATGAGACGTGATGGGACATTGAATGTCTGAGGAAAAAGCATGAATATAAAAGAAGTTTGGGAATGTGGAGAACAAATGAATGAGAGAAAGAAGAATTTCAATAGATTAGGTGGGAATACAGGTCACAGATTAAGGAAAGGTGGGAGGAATATAACGATGATGAATATAACAAAATTCAATGCACTGCAAAGAGTAGAGCAGTTTTTGAAAATAGGAATGTATATAGGAAAAAGAAAAAGATAGGAATAAGTAGGAGAATACCTATGTGAGGGAGAGTGACATGATCACATCGAATAGATTTTAGGGAGGGAGGTGCCAATTTCCCGATTTCCTCTGAAAAAAAGGCGTGTGGACTGAATTGAATACCAGGTAATGCTTAGTTATGTGCAAAAGATATTTTATGTGAAAAACTGCATGAGGTAATTTAGATATACATGGTACGGATGTATGTGGGAAAGCTGATGTTCTGATAGAACAGTGGTAATGATGAGGGATTAAAGGGAGGAAAGAAGAATGAGTGGTAATGTTATATGTATCACTGAGAAAAACTAGAAAACTGGAAGGGGTGGGAAGAAATATTGAATTTTCAAATTAGAGAAATTGTAGGTTTAAACCACCTACTATCAGAAATTGCGTTAAAAGTACAAAAAAGCATTGGGGAAGTGAACAGGTACATCAGGAAGGGTTTAGAGATAAGGATTGCAAAAATTTGTTTAAAATGATTGTTTTTTATGTTCGAAATATTCAAATTATTGATTCGAACTTTTTGTACAATTGTACCACATATATAACTCGAAGGACCATAGAAACGCCGAGTTGTAAATACCTATAACGAATTTATTGTACAACTTACAACTACGACCTATTCTAATTTATTATAAATATTGATTTTTATTAATGTATTATGAAAATAACTAAAGTCTAGTTACTCTCAGCGAGTCTACAAAAGAACTATTCTATCAAACTTAAAATTTTGTACACTAGATTCCGAAATCGACAAATTATCCCTCCCAATAACGAGGTTATTGACAGTAATATCAATGCACAATACGTATACTAACCATGGGATAAACCCTCATTTGTGCTTCTGCGAATTTGCCTACGTGACCGTAGATTTCGGAAATATATTTAAGTCCAATAACAATAAGCTTTACACTAAAGATATAATAAAATATGAAAATGTTTATGCCATAAAGTCCCTGCGTCGGCATATCACAAATAAGGTTCCTTAACAATGACGACAAAATGTATGATTGTTAAGAAAATACAGATGACTAGTTGAAGTGAAAAATGGGAGAAGGAGGGTTGTTGGAAGAAAAGAAAGGAATGAATGTGAAGGAGAGAATAAAAAAAACAAAGATTTGAGTATAAAGCAGATTAATAAAAGCAAAAAAGACTACAGTTACAAAATAATAAATGATTTAAAGATTACGAGGAGCACGTAGGGGTGATCGAAAATAATGAATAGTCGTAGGAAAAGTAACAAATCATAAGTGAGTGAAAAAATTAAACATTTTAAAAAGATATTGAAAAGTGAGTGAAGAGATGGTTGTAGGAGAGTTTTTGATACTAGTAGAAAGAAGACAGGTAGAAGGGTGGAAATTATAAAAGGAAAAAAAGCGGTTCAGTTAGATGGAATTTCTGGGAAGGCTAGGAGATATGCAATATTATATTGGAAAAATTGTACAAAAATATGGCATGGATATGGGAAAAGAATGGGATATCTGACGAATAAAAATTTTGGGCGATTGGTCCGGTAATTAAAAGGGACACAAGGGTTAGTGACTAAAATTATTGGTATTGTAAATTTGAATGCGGAGTATAAAGTATACATACACAAAAATAATAACAAATAAACTATAGCAAATTATTTAAAATTTTAATTCTACGATAAAAAATGTAATGCAGAAACAGTTGGACAAAAAAGAGTATACTTAATGTTTGTTTTTCATTTTCATTTTTAATAAATATAATGTTTATAACGAATAAGTTTATGTGTTGTTATGAAATATTATATTAGTTACTAAAAAATAAATAATGTCCAATTAAAAATTTCTTGTAGAACACAGGTTTTTATTAAAATTTTTCTCAACCACATTGGCGTTTATCAGTTTAACATGAATAATAATATTGCGATGACTTTTAACAACCTTGAATGGTACAAGGTACTGCTTGAGACTTTTTTTGGCTTATATTTATTTTGATGTATACCGAAATTAATTAGGTAAAATGTATGGGAGGAAGCAAAAAAATTAACCATCAATAGTGTCCGAATAATATGTTAGACATTAAATTTTTTCTTTCCAGCATTCAATATATTATGTATTTCGTCAGTTGAACGAATTCCTATTTGACGAAACAAGTGCAATGTAATTTACATAAAAACCTAATATCGCTTTGTGTTTTATTCACAACATTGTAACGAGTTCCAAAAATTACATGCTGCAGCAATCAAAAATCAAAAATTTTTAGTTTGCGTGGTGCTTGTTTTCAAAAACCATAACCCACTACGAATAAGACCTGTACCTACAATTTATCAACAAATTCATTCAACACTATTTAATATTTATTAAAACTCTAATAAACCACTACAATGGCAATCCATTTAACTATACATATATGTATAAAATATCACAGAATAGGATTAATTATAAGACAAAATAATTTTACCTTTATCTCCAGTACTACGTTGAGTTTGATAATCCACTCTGCATTACGCCGATACACTGATCCACAAAATTAATTAATCTACACCCGCATCTTACTTAACGCGGACCGATCTAGCCGAGGCTCGAATTAACTCTAATAGTTGTCTATGCTCTAATAGTAACACTACACATGAGTAATGCTATCAGCGCACATGCGTGGTTTACTAATGGCTTTACTCGAAGTTGAACATATACAAGGCCTAATTAGAAAGTTAAGCAATAATCTACTCAAAATATATTAGCACAAAAAAAACGAGGTTTTAGTTTCATGTTGAAAATGAACACATGATATGCGGGCGAGACATAAATATCCGCTGGTTAATGTGAGTTTACAGAAGTTAGGGGCGACTTTTTTTTATTTTGTCTTTCTTCCCACATGACTACATATCTAACTCCTTCATTGGTTTCTTCTTAAGATTGTTTGTACTGGTCACAAAAGTCGACGAATATGACATATAACAGGGGGGATGCATGTAGAGTAAATTGATTTATTTTTTAGTGGTGTAAATATTCCACGTTTTATACAGTTTAACAAATATTTTTTTAATTTTGACTAAAGAGGGTGGTTGGCACAAATCATTACGATGGGACACTTTTACTTTTAAACAAAACAGTCTACGGAAAAAATGTACTATAGGTCCTGTTTCAAACGAGTAAATTTTTTACAAGGATGTATAGAAAATTATAATAATAATGTAATAGATAGGAATAGGTATACATTTGTGAAGAGTTTTTTTTTTTAATNATTATCAAGCAAGAATAACCTTACGTTAAATACTGATTTGGTGTAAAAAAATAGTAAAGAGGGTGGTTGGCACAAATCATTTTGTAAATTACGTAAATTAAACAATTAGGAATTGCTCTAAATGTGTGTCTATACACGAAGGAAAATTTTAATATTAGATAACTTTATTTCACGTGGATGTTACAGCTTGTATACAATTTACAATCTATAAAATCTTTTAATTTCATGCATAAATGTAGATATCATTAATATTGTTTTGATTATAGAACTTTGATTTTTTTTGTACTTGAGGAAATAATACGGGCTGTTTTAGATACATTTCTTGCGTAGTTAATACACAACGACACAAACAATAAATAATTTTTATATGCACTACGTGATAGCATTTCATCACTAATTAATATGTTTTATCGTTATCGTTATAATAAATAGTTGTCTTACACTAATGATATTCTATAACTTCTTAAAATGTAGGTATGTAGTTGATAATAAACAACACTGTTAATTAATCAACTGAAGCTTAAAATACATAAAATAAAATCTATATTTATTAAAGCACTTCAAAGCTTGACAATAGCATGAATCAATTTGTATACTTACATGTAAATCATGCCCTCGGTATATGTAGATTTGTGTGATTATCTTTTATATGTATCGTATTGATTATCCTAACATTTAAACATGTTAACTGTAAATTCTTATTTAACGTTTTTAGGCACTAAGTGTCAATAGATATATTTACAATAATTTCATAACATTATATTTCACAGAAATACTATTATTAATTTTAATTTTTTTGAAAAGAAAGCAAACAAGGTGAGACATTACTAACATTAAGACTAGCAAACAAATTAAATTAGACAAACAGGTGCAGAAGACGAACGATATTAAAGGAAAGACGTTAAAACAACAGAAACAATAAATGCGTTTAAAGAATAACATTAATAAATTTTTTGGTTTACTTGTGCAAATTTTAAAACGTATTTTCATATAGCTTTGTATTCATTAAAAAAAATTGTTGGGATGTGGTCGCTAATTCTTACAAGAACTGTTAAGTTTTCGTGTATATTAAAGGATTTCTTTTTTTATAACATTGATGGTCGTGCGCCGCTTGATGTTAAAATTCTGTTCACAAAATTTACTATTGCGGACGCCGGTTGTTCTGGTTCCAATTCGGCAAATAAATGACACTGATTATCTGCACTTCTTGCTGGTTTTCTTGCAACAAAACCAAATATTCGACTGAAAAAGAAACGCGTACTTAAAATACGAAAGTATAAACAATTATCAATTACTGAAAACGTTCTAAGAAATTTATTTAAATAAAACGTTCTGTACAAATTCCAAAGTTTGAACGCGGCGCTGTACAGGTGCGAAACATGGACGGTGGGCGCGATGGGAAAAAAAGGTTAGAAATGAAGAGGTACACGGAAAAAACTAAATTTTTATGACATTTTTGATTGTATATGGCTCGAGTTTACCGTAGAAATAGTAAAATTTATTAGGTAACTTCTAATAATCTCAATTTTGACATGTTTCTTTAAAAATTATTTCAAGTTTCTTAATTATTACAATTAAATTTGTAATATCAACTAAATCACCTAGTAAATTTATTTCTGCTGGAATTTTATTTTTATAAATTTGGGTCCAAATTCTAATTTTTATTATTTTCGCTTACGAAACAACGGGCTAGTGGGATAAATTATAAATATCTCTTTAATATTTAGGTAAATTTTCGTTTTTCCTTTTTCTTCGTATGTTAGGATGAATAGGAGAACAGAGGATTATTAGAAGCACAAATAGGACTTAAGAGGAGTAGAGGTAGATTAGATTGGTGAATATTCTAGTTTTGGGGAAATGCGAAGATTAGCTCAGGATAGGAAAGAGTGGAGGTGCGTGTCCAATCAGTCTTAAAACTGACGACCTTAAGATGATGATGATGAAAATGTTCTTACTTACTTTTGACTATTGGCTACTCTCGAATCATCGGTGACCGTCCATCTATGTTCATCAGGATCTATACCACAGTGGGATATCGTATTGGTTGGATAATGTCTTCTGAAAAATAATTTTCTCTTGCTGTCAGTCAAGGTAATCCCTTGTCCATTAACTTTGAAATGGACAACAGTAGCGGTTGGTTGAGGTGATTTTTGAAATAGATCTAATACAGCTTTTCTGACAGCTTGGGGACCAGTTAAAGATTCCATATCGACAGAGTACAAATACAAAACGTTGCAAGCGGCCCCTCTATTGAAAAGCTGTTGTGCAGGGTTCGTCGCGATTTCCATAGGTTTTATGTCGCCTTCCGGGAGAACCAGTCGGCACGGAAGGGCCATTTGGGTGACTGAATGCTGATAGATTAACGCAGATAATGAACTAAAAACGGGCTCATTTGCACAACCTTTAAGCCTGACGCCTCTAGAAGTTGGTTCAATTAAAAAGTGGCGAACGTATTCATCGGTGTTTGGAGATTTCGTCTGAACATTTGATGGTAAAGTTGCCACCTTCAACGCCAGTCCAAAAGCTCCCGGGAATGAGTTGGAATCGCGAACTACGAATGTACCAGGAGGCTGATCGCGCAGCATGTTAATTGCTAAAGAGAATTATTCTAAGATAAAATTCATTATAGTTATAAAGCGATACGAGGGATGTACCTTGATCACGTGATATTGTGGATTTGTACCAGAACTTGGAGGTGTCGCGTACAAATTTAACATGGGCGGGAGATACCTCGTGTGGAGATTCTGAATGTACAGAACTTCTTCTAGAGCTGCCGTAATAAATAGTTGGGGATGCAGAGCCATTTTGTAACGGACTTTTTTGAGTGTAATTGTATGTTTCACCTCCGTTAACTAAGTCGTTAGGAGATGTCGGACGGTCCTTGCTATTACCAGAAAAAGTAATGACTTAATACTTAAAATAGTTTCGTTTTGTTTCTGCATATTTTAGTGAATAAAAATTTCCTATTTTAAGTGCGGTTTTTCAAGTATTTTTTAAGTTATCAATCAAATGAAACATGTTTAAAGGGAACATTATACGAAATGCAAACTTATCAAATAATTACAAACTATAGGTTAGTTAATACTACAAACGGCACAGTGAGCGCCATCTGTAGCACGATGCTACATTTTAGGATTACGTATGCCTGCGACGCGCTGATGAGATCCAAAAAGATCGAAATCGCGATCCGCGTCTGGCAGTTTCGACAGAATACAGACCACTTCGAATTATTTTATTCGATTAAGCTAACGTGCCCATCACGTTGAGGTTGGCTACGCCAGGATTCGTTTTCAGCAAGTAGATATCCACACAAGTGGACCTTGTTGAAAAATACGTAATCCTAAAATGTAGCATCGTGCTACAGATGGCGCTCACTGTGCCGTTTGTAGTATTTTCTGAAACGCACTGTTAAGACAGCAGGTAAAAGTTGGTCTGTGTTCTGTCGGAGCTGCCTGCGACGCGCTGATGAGATCCAAAAAGATCGAAATCGCGATCCGCATCTGGCAGTTTCGACAGAATACAGACCACTTCGAATTATTTTATTCGAATTATTTTATCGGTTAGTTAGTTACTACTTTTTAGTAAATATTAACTACCGAAAGGAAGTGTTAGAGTAGCAGCGAAAAATAAATTTGAAGTAAAATATATTTTCACCCCCTTACGTGCAACAAAATTATTGATTTTTTGTAATCATGCAAGTTGAACTAAATGAATGATAACTGCAATATACGTTATAAAAATACGGAAAATAATTTTGTCGATTTTCAATTATACAACTCACATTTTCTTTACAAAACTAACGATAATGATAACAAATAAAATGTGTTTGCATAAATTTTAAAACATTGAATGATTATACAGTACCTATGTACTCATACTTTAGTCAAAATCATGCTATTCACAAACGTTGATATTTACTCCCTACTGATTCAATCATTTGATAACATGCTTTAGAGAAAATTCTCAATTACCTCTCAGTAGGATAGGTTCCGTGCCTATAATATTTAAGACTTGAAGTGGTTGGATAACTCATATGTCTAGAAAGTACATTTTTGATATAACCAAATAAAAGATAAATTTTGTATAAAACAAAAAGATAAGGACAATTCTAGAAATAAGGAAGAATGCAAGTAGACAATAACGCCACCAAAGATAAGTGTTAATTAGTAACATATAGGCAGAATTACTTTTGAATAGTGCAGCATATGTTAAAATTTTGGATAATATAAATTTTTAATATTAACGTCAAAATTTATTTAATTTTTCTCCACTATAAATTACCCGATTACCGGAAGGTCCCGAGTTCGATTCCCGGCGAGGGCGTGACAGCAACAACAATTTTTCTTTATTAATTTGCAGTGGATGAAAATTTAAATTAATTTTCACATTAATATTAAATATTAACCACTATTAAAAGTTTTTTAAAGTATTTCATATGATACTAATATAAAATTTGCCTAGTTTTGTGCAATACACTTGATCGTTAATTAGCGGTAGTGTAACAATTAAGAGCTATGAATAATAAAAAGGGCCTTGAAACAAATTAAAAACAATTTTCCCACGAACTTATGGAAACGAAGTAAATAATTAAATAAGTTTTTCCAAACAAAATTAAATAATAAATAAATTAAAACTCCAAAAACAGTAATATATTTATGAAAAAAAAAAAGTTGAAATATCTTATGATGTTTATTTGTTATATAACAACAAAAATTTGATATTGTTAACTTACCGCTGGGTTGTAGGACTCTTGGGTGGTAGTCGTTCGGTTGGTAAATCGAATTGTACTGTCGGGGTCGAAGAATTCATGTAGGGAGTTCGAGAATGTACGGGGAAGGCCGGAGTTTGTGGACGTGGAGATACACTTCTGGGTGGACTGGTTTCGACCTCACTAGCGGACTGTGTGCGCCAGGATGAAACCGATTCTTCTCGATACTTTTTAAAGAAACAAAAAAAAATACGATTAATGAGTTACACAAAGTTTTCTTTTTAATGCACGACATGTCACAAACTTTCCGAATATATACTTAAACAAATTGATTTCCACAAGAATCATTTTATCTATAACTTATAATTATAAATACTAACATCAACAATCATTGTAATGCATAAATAAAAACAAGAAAAGTTATATAGATAAATAGATTATGGGAATCTTTGATTTGAATATTATTAAAAAGGATGAAATGGAAAACAACTCTTTTCTTTAAATTGCTATTAATTAATATCTACATATAAAAATAATTAGTGTGCTAGAAGTATAAAAAGACCAAAAACAAATTAAAAACCTTAACAAATACGTTATACTTATAATATCTACAGCTGGCAAAAGAAATATTCAAATAGGTCTAAATGAAATATTAATGTGAAAATTCATTTTTAATTTTCCATCCACTACAAACTACCTCAGGTTAATGAGGGAAAATTTTTGTTGTTGTTGTCATCCCTGAGGTAGTTTGTAGTGGATTTTCACATTAATATTTCATATTAACTACTATTAATAATTAAAAATGTCATTCGGTCTAAATGATTTCAAAAATGGCTTAATATGTGCTTATTAGTGTTAATCAGATGGAATCCAATTTATCTACTTCATCCGGCATTTGGTCAATAATAGTTAATGTGTGAAAGGAAAAAAATAAGTAGAAAAATATTAGTAGATACCTGCCAATTAGTTGCGGAATTAGGACTATCATTAGAGGTATCAGATCCATTAGACAAGCTAGCGATTAAATCGGCAAGCGCATCATGCTGCATGGGATTGGTTTTGTGTTCAGTTTCGTTGATGATAAGTGTGCTTTGATTAGATGAGTTAAAGGAATTTTGTGAAGGCATGGTACCCACCATGGTAGGTGTAGGCCCTTGTTTCATGGCGTAGCTTTCTTTCTCGACAAGAGACAGTAGTCCACTATCAGTGGAATCTACTCCACGGCTTGGAGAACGAATCACGTTCCCTAATGGATTTGCAGCTAGAATTGATGCTGGAGACGACGACATCTAAAAGGTTAATCTGAGGTGCTAATTTGCCCTACACACGTGGTTTGTATATTACAAGATCAACTAATATACATACTCTATACATAATCGACGATCGTGGGCCATTACGTATATTAACAGAGTGTATGTAAAAAAAATATGATATTACTTACCAGATGTGATACTAACTAAATGTTAAGTAGTAACTGTACAAATGAGTTATTTGTTTAAAATTTGTTCGACTATTCACAGTTAACATTAGTAACTGGTTAAAAAAATCAATCTTCTTGATAAAATGTACAATATCTACATCAAAAAATGATACAGGAAAAGTTCCTTATTCACGGTTTCCTTATTCGCGTTTTCATTATTCGCTGGTGAAAAAATTGCAGCCCAGTTCCTGTATTCGCGACTAAAAATTTCATTATTCGCGGTTGCAATCGGTAAACAGAAAAAGATTCGGTGTCATTTATTAAGAGGATCGACCGTAATAGAAAGCTCGCGCCTATTGTGAATTTTTCCGAAAATCTAGGTTTCTATCATAAACATTGTGATTTAACGCTGTGAGATAAATATGTGATTTTTTTGTATGGTAACAGACAAAGGTACACACTAACTCGGTACGTTTTTGGTTTTCAATAATATGGTCATTAAAAGCTTCTACAAGTGCTTAAAGTTGATGCTTCTTGTAGGACACGTATTTCCAGTAGAAATTAAAAAATGGCCTTCGACAGGCTTTAGAACAAAGCTTTATCTATTGTTTCGGCGCAAAAGACTATTGCCGATATTTGTAAATATTTTAAACTTATAATCATAACATTTATTTGATCAAGCAGTAGGCATTACATTATTATAGGCTATTAGTCGTAAGTTGGTCCTAAGAAAAACCCCATAATCTGTATATATTTCTTACCCCCATTGTAAATAGTTTTATTACCTCTTTTGTACCTCTCATTCCTGTATACCTACCTATTAGTCATTTGGAATTTTCAATCACTATTCAATATTATAAATACCTAGTTTGTAGTTCTATTGAATTTCTTAGGACCAGGCATAATTTGTTTGTGTGTGTGTGTTAGTACACACAATTCTGGTTGTTGCCCCTTCCATCAGAAGGGTAACATAAATACTAAAATTTGTCAAAAAAATAAGGAGTCGTAGTCGAAGTCGAAGTCGAAGATTCGATTCGTTCTAAAACATTTCAACTAAAAACTCCACTTTGAGTTTCCAGAGTCTAAGGTAGACTCAGCTGAGAACAATTCTCATAATCAGTTGTTACTTATGTAAAAGTGTAAATAAATGTACATATACATTTTACAGTTCCGTGTCTTATTTATACGGTGGTCCTTCGATCAGGTATTTATATATGTGGTACAGCAGTACACCCGTTGAGAAAAGATATATTGTTTTAATCGAACCTCAACAAAAAACATT